GCAATTCATCGAACAATTGAAGTGCACCAATCTTTTTAAAATTTAATCTAGATACTTGCCTACTTATCTTAACATTTGGATTCAACTTTGATTTTTCTGAGGGCTATGAACTCAGAGACAAATTTCTTTGATAATCTAATGCCAACTGAAACTGGAGAAAAATGAAAAACAATCTTAGGGCTGATAAATAATTAATCAAACAAATCTACAACTCACGAATTCACATATTCCAAAAATATAACTATTAATTGTGTAAAACACTCAAAAAATAGGCACATTTAAAAGTGTTGGTGTTAATCCATTCCTAAGAAAATATAAAATGTAATCAACGGACATGGGCATCAAATAATTCAAAAATAATCATAGGATGATGTGAATTCAACCTCTAATTAAGGGCTAAACAATAATTCAGAGAATCAATATGGAGTGCAACATTAGAATTTTACCATTTTGGCAATAGAAAGAGGGTATTGACTTGCGGCAGTTGTGGTTGAGCAAAGGTCATCGTCTCCACTGGGATGCTCCATAGAGTAATAGAGAATACCTGGATTGAGTTTCAGCAGCAACTTCCGTGTGGGTCAAACGGAACAATCCATGTGATTCCAGGCTTGCTTGCTGAAGGTGTGATGATCGGCGCCGTTCCATTTCCCGACCTGCTCCAACATCAGGTCCACGAAATATCAGTCCATATCCGGAGTCCACACTGTTCTCAGCCATTCAATCTCAACCCCACCTCGATTCGCCATCCCCAAATCAATCCGCTCATATTTCATTTACGCATCGTCGTTCTATCTAAACGGAAAAGGAGATTTCGAATACTCCGTTTGATTGTGCAATCCCTCAAGTTGAAGAAGAAAAGCCAATCCCTCTTACATTAAAGTACACGTATGATCCTACATGGAATGACAGGTGTCAACACCACATGTAAAAAACCCTACTTTATATATATATATGATGATATGATATGATTGTTTTGTTATTATGATTATTAATTTTTGAAAATAGTTAAAAAAAAGTACTACAGTCTATCCTAAAAAAACAAAATACTCTGAGTTTCAGAATGCCCTTATCGAGCCTGTTTGAGAATAGCGTTAGAGATTAGCGTTAGCGTTTTGGATAAAATTTTAATGGTGCAGATTAATTTGAAAACGCTAACGCTAAACGCTGCTCGTAGATAGCTTTTTGAAAACGCTAACGCTAATCTCTAACGCTATTCCCAAACAGGCTCATCCCAAACATCATTTTTTTTAATTATTTTGAAATTGAAACAAAAAATAAGATAATCTCTCATTAAACAAAAAATGTTGATGGATTTTTCATCTCTCATTAAACTATAGTATTTTTATTTACAATGTTTTATTGAAACTATTTTCAATTCAGTTTATTAAAATATCAATACAAATTTTTAAAAAACTAAAATATGAATTTTTTAAAAACTATTCCTTCTGTCCCAAAATGATATTCCTCATTTGAACATGTAAAATCATGTGATTTTTAAAATGATTTTTTTACAAATTGGTAAAAAAAAAGTTATATGTTCTGGTATTTAAAAACTACTCCGTACATAAAAAAATTTGCAAAAAAAGAGGTGACGAGAATATTTTATTTTATCAAATAATTAATGAAGTATGCAAACAAAAGTTATCGAATTGAAAAATCGTAATAGTAAAGAGAAATTATTTTGGGACGTAGCCAGTACATAAAATTTGCTATAGAATAAAATATGATACTCCTTTGTCCCAAAAAGATTTTCCCTTTCTTTTTTTCATTATCCAAAAACACTTTACTTTTTATTACTTTTACCCGTACTAATTTATATGGAGACGGAGGAACCATGACTTTTTTAATGAAAAAAAAGTATTCCTTTCAGAAGAAGGTGCAAATTAAAATCTCATTTCTTTTAAAATAATTTTATTTATAAATTGGTATACAAATAAAAATTATAGATTACAACTTTCAAAATTACATCAAAATTTATACAAAACAAGAGCTGACAATAATATTTTATTTATCAAGTGATCAATGAAAACATAAATACAAATATAAATTATGAATTATCAATAAGCCATATTAGTAACTTTGAAGATTAATTTAGGACGAAGGGAGGAAGTTCTATTGACAATGTGAGGGAAGGTTGCAATGTCAGTGGTGACAATAATAGAGGATGTCCCTAATATCCCATGAAAAAAGATTGAAATAAAAACGCCTCCACCTTTTACTGAGCACCAGAGGACCAATTACTGCCCAAAAACCAACAACAAATCCAGGGGCAATGCCCACAAAGAAGAAAAACCAATCCACTGCCCCATCATCATCTTCTTCTTCTGCTGTTCCATCCTCAGTTGCAGGGCTTGCACCTCTGGCAATGCAATGCATGGCGAGTGGGGGCCCGCAGAGGCTGTTGCCACTGAATCTAGAGGGATCAAAGCTTTGCAGTTGCGTACTCCGAGGAATCACTCCCGACAGATTGTTGTCAGACAAGCTCAAATCATTCAGGAATGTCAAGCTCGACATGCTTGGAGGAATCTCGCCCGACAGTTGGTTATGAGAAAGATCAAGGGTTTGAAGCTCCTTCATGTCCCCTATGCTCTTGGGGATTCTCCCAGTCAGAGAATTGTGTGATATGTTCAAGAATTGCAACCCGCCGAGAGCTGTGATTTCTTCAGGAACCTGGCCATGCAATTTGTTGTTCGAAAGGTCCAAACTCCTTACGAAATTAAGAATTGTGCTGTATTCAACTATTTTCCCACCTCTCATAATGGAGGAGCTCGCATAGTATGTCAATGTAGGACCATACTGCCAGAAAAGGCTTCCTTCGCCTTCGGAGCCATATATCATAGATGTTAGCTTGTTAACACATTTTGGAAGTGTACCGAGCAGGGCATTATCTGCAAGATCCAGGATCTGTAGAGAATCCAGGTTGCAAAGCTCTTTTGATATGGTCCCATTGAAATTATTTCCGCGAAGGATGATGATGGTTGCCTGTTGAAGATGTGTCCCCACCCAGGTTGGGATTACTCCGCTCAATCTGTTTATACTCAAGTCTAGTACCTTGAGCTGGGTGCAATTTCTCAGCGAAACTGGTACTTCTCCTGAAATATTGTTGTCATGAAGATCCAATATCTCAAGAGAACTTAAAGTTCCAAGAGACGTTGGAATATTTCCACTGAAAGAATTGCTACTTAATCTGATCACCGTTGTATGTGTCTCCCAATTCCCCCAACACTCTGGTATCTCTCCTGAGAAAAGATTTTCTCCAAGGTTAAGAACTTCTATAGTCCTGGACTTGTGGCATAAAAAGGTAGATATTGACCCAGAAAACTTGTTATTGGAAAGATCTAGCCCAAATGGATTTGAAGATATATATGGCATAGGACCTTCAAAACGATTTGAACTCAAGTCAATCACAGAGTAATCAGAGTCATCAATCGATAAGTATGGGACATTTCCATGCATTTGGTTATGAGATATATTGAACTGATAAAGCCTTGAAGAAAAATCAAGGAACCAAGTGGGTAGGGTACTAGAAATGTCTGAATTGGACAAGTCAATATATGCTAAATATTTCAAGGATTGAACCCAAGCTGGAAAAGAAGGACCAACTCGCCAAGATTTCAAATATATGCTCGAAATAAGTTGAAAAGCAGGATCCCAATCAGGGTTCACTCTCAAAGCTAGTCGGTTGCCAGATGCCTTAAATGTCCTCAAGTTAATAAGGTTTGAAAAGTGGATTTCAGACACTTCACCCTCAAACGAGTTATCAGAAATATCCACTTCTCTCAAGTTCGAAAGCATCCCAAAACCTCCAGGCAGAGTCCCATTCATCTTGTTGCCCCCAAGGTCTAGACTTACCAAGGAATTCAGGGCTCCTAAACTCTCAGGAATTGGACCAGATATCATATTGCCACTAACATCCAAGTAGCCCAGATTCTTAAACTTACCAAGACGGTTGGTCAAATGACCAGATAGTTGAGTAGAAGACAAGATTAGTGTCGCAAGTGTGTTGGAAACACATCCAGACAGAATTTCCAAGATCTCATTTATGTCTTGCCTCAGTACATTGTTTGACAGTATGAGTGACCTCAAGCTGCAAAGATTTTTGAACCGCGTTGGAATTCCTATTACAAGTCTGTTATTAGACAAGTCCAGTCTGGTAAGAGAACTTAAATCCCCAATGGCACTTGGAATCCCTCCTTCAAGACTGTTACTTGACAGGTCAAGAGTTTCAAGGGAAGTCAAGTTTCCAATGGCAGTGGGAATCCCTCCCTCGAGATTATTGCCAGACAAGTCTAAGCTGATAAGGGAACTCAAATTTCCAATGGAACTTGGAATTCTGCCTCCAAGACTGTTACCCGACAAATCAAGACGCTCAAGCTGGGTAAACTCATGTAACCAGTTGAATATGGAAGAGTTCAAACCATAGTTTCCAGATAGGGAAAGCTCTTTGACTGTGGTCATGTTGAGAAGAGGAATAAGGCCGGAACCAACAAATTGGTTCCGTGACAGATCCAGAGAACTGAGATATGCTAGCCTAGAAATCCAACCGGGAATTTCATGAAGACTGTTTCCCGATAAATCGAGAGTGGTCAGTGATGAAAAGTTCACAGTGGGAATTACTCGAATAGGATCAACCCGACAACCCGACAAGTGCAATTCAACAAGAGCAGGGAGTGCGTTCATCACATCTAACCAGTCATGTGCATCATTAAGGATCAGGCCATTTAATCGAAGAAATTTAAGCAACCTAAGACCAGACAGCCAAAGTAAACTGTCAACACGCAAATCATTCCATGCTACATCCAAACACTGCAAATTCGAGAGATTTCCCAGCTGGTGAGGAATCATCCCTCCAAATCCTGAACTGGATAGGTTAAGATATCTCAAACTCTCCATCCTCCCAATGAACCTAGGAATCTCAATCCCTCCAAAATCATTGTTGCTCAGATCTAGATACTCCAAATGCGTCAAATTAACCAGCGAAGAACTGAGATTACCTCCAAAAGCCGATTTCTCGTAGTAAACATCATAGAAAAAGTATCCAAACTCAGCGGATGAAGAATACTCGTTCCTGGAAAGAGTTCTAAGACGGAGTTCGGTGACATGGCCGGTGAGGCCGTCGCAGACGACTCCATACCAGCTGCAACATTCCTCGCCATCGCCGCCGCCGCGCCAAGATGCGAGCCGGCCTGAAGGATCTTCAAGTTCGTCCTTGACCTTCAGAAGAGCCTCCTTCTCGATTGGATTGCAGCTATGGCTGTTGCCGAGCTCTAAGATCGTTCCTGCTGCTGCTAGGAGGAAGAACAAGAGGGAAGAAACTCGCCACATTGAAATCATTGAATATTTGAATCTAACCATCTTTTTTTATTATCTGCTCATTATTTAAGAGTGTGCTTAAAGCTGTTAATTACTGTTTGGACAGCCTTTTATTAATTTAATCCGAATGAATTATCGTATTTTCTTCTCCCTATTAAGTATTTATATTAATCATTTTTTTAAAACAGTACTCTCTTTGTCGTTGACTATTTTTTGTTTAAAATAGTCAATTGATTTGGGTCCTTAGGGGCGGCCGGATAGATAGGAGGTGGGGCAGTCGGGCACGGTTGGACACTTTTAGAGGAGTTGAAACAATGAAACATAATTCCTCCGTTCTGGAGTATTCGTCAATGTTTTGAAAATACGACCGGACGTTGAACCGGATAAGCTACTGGGTCAAGAGTCAACGGGTTGAATCGGGTTGACTCGGGTCAACGACCTGGTCAACGACCCATGTTTTGGTATATAACATTCATATTTATGTTTAGATAATAAAAAATTAAATAATACGGAGTACAATGCTTTGTGGACTATTTTTAAAGATAATAAAATATTATCACATAACTTAAATACCTATTATTTCTAAATAATCCAAAGCACGTACTCCCTCCGTCTAACTTTAATCTTCGAATTTGAACCAGACACATTTTTTAAGGAAAGATGTAAATGTTATTTTTAATGTTAAATAAAATACTCCGTACTTAATATTGTGTTTTTTCTTCTCCATGTTATTTTCAATGTTATTGTTCATATACTCTTTCACACTTCCCATGTTTTGTAATATATAATTAGTATATATTTCTTCATTTTATAGATGATATTATTTGTTTAGATGTAAATTATTCATTATTATTTAATACAAAAAATAATATTTAGTTTTTACTTTGAAATGTTTTAAAAGATTATAAAATAACTACACAACACAAACATGTTCTTTCTTACAAATAGTTAGAAATTTTTTAAATTCCCTTAACACAAATAAGAAACCCTATATATACTATTCTGCATAATTTTGGTAACAAGTACTTAGTAGCTTAAGTGGTTAGAGTCTTTGAGAGGTGTATGGTGAGGTTTAGTGTTCAATTCCTATCTCCATCATTTTATTTTGTAGACAAAAAAATTGGAATCAACCCGCCGGTCTCCATCATTTTATTTTGTAGACAAAAAAATTTGGAATCAACCCGCGGGTCGGCCGGGTTGACTCGGTCCACCGGTTCTGCCGGGTTTGGGCGGGTCAATCCGTTTCCGGTTTTTACAATTGAACCAGACCAGAGTGCTCACCGGTTCGCGGTCCGACCGGTTGGACCGGCCGGTCCGGTTCTAATAACATTGGTATTCGTCCAATTTTGACTTTTGGAACTGTTCATCTAAGCACTTTGACTCATCAAATTCTCTCAATGTGTAAGCCTAAATATAGTTATGTATGATCTTGTTTGATTTGTCTTAACATATATAGATTATTAATATACTCCCTCCGTCCAAAATTAAAGTTCCCAGTTTGACTTGGTGCGCAAATTTATGTGGAATGAAATTTGAGTTGACTTTCCTGTTATACCCTTCCACCTTTCAGCCCTTCCCCCCTGACATCTAGCCCCCCACCTCTGATGAGGCTTCTGCAACCCCTCACCGTTGAAAGCCCCCGCCGTCGTTGTCCCCCGCCG